GGGGCCCAGATAGGGCAGAGACCTTCCTGGCCAAAAGCATTGAAGGGGTTGGTGGCAGGGCTGCCACTGAAGGTACCCAGGGCAGATAAACAGAAAGATAACCCAAGAACACCTGTGCCGCTAGGACCACATGATGGGCCCTTTGCCCCATCAAGGTCAGATGGAACTGAGAGAACCTGGGGGTGACAGTCATTTTAGCTCACATTTATTGGGACAGGAACCAATCTTGGCGCATTACATGTATATGTTGAACAAGCTGGGCTTGTGTCTATTGAAAACACAATTTTAGTTTTGTATCCCACAGCTCCCTTGAAAGGTACTGTTGGGGAAGTCTCCTCCTCCTTTCTTAGAGGAAAACTCAGGCAGGTCCCATATCTTTCCTGCCCACTCTTAGCCCACAGAGAAGCTATTAATTAAAACTCTGAAATTGATTTAACAGCACTTTCCCCTGCCTTGCTCGGGTCTGCTGTGGGAAGGGGGGATATGGTTTGCTTCTTCCCCCCTTCAGCCGCTGTCCAGCTTGAGAGCCAGTTTCTGACCCCTCCTGGGTGTGGGAGGGGCAGGAGGAAGGTGAGGGAAGGGCCCGCCAGGGCAGGAAAAGTCTTGCTGCAGCTGCCGCCATCATGAGCTGGCTGCGCACTCTGAGCCCGGGAGGCGGGTAAAGCCACTCCTCTTCTGCATACCTGGGTGGGGACCACCTCTATTCTGTGGACTAGGGAAGGAGATGGCACCCATCATGGGTAGCAATAGCCACCCCACAACCCACCCTCCAGTCACAGGGGCCCTGTGTCGACTGGATCATCCCGGAGACCTTGATCTGTGTCAGATGCCTTCTGCCTGGACTCCTTACTTGCCCTGTGACCCTGTTAAGGACCTCGGGTAAACTCTCTTGGTCTTAGTTGTCCTCATCTGTAAAATAAAGAGGTTACATACCTTGTATAAGGCTGCCTTCCTCTTGGAGGGAGCAGGCAGGTCCTCTGAGAGGCACTGGCAAGAGAGGAAACATTTTCTCCTGGGTCCTACCTGGTTCCCATGCAAAGAGCAAAGCCACTGGCCAGCTACTTGAGGACCCTGAGTTCCTGTCCCCACCAGAGCCTTTAGAGTCCCGGCTGCCTGCCTGAGACGCCCTCCCAATCCCTGAGTTCTCCCCCACCCTCCATGCACAGGAGGGCGGCCAGAATGTCCCTGTTCCTGCCCTCACCCACACTTCCTCCCTGGCACCAATGGTGGGTCAGGGGGGCAGCTGGCTGCGGGGTGAGGGTGGGGAGGCCTGGGGGATGTGAGGAAGGGGGACGAGTTGACTCACGGTGGGTCCCTGGACTTTCTGCTCCTCCTTGTCCTCCATCTCCTGACACCCAGCACAAGGCCCTGCTGATGGGGAGTGGGCCGTGGAGGGGGGAGGACCCCAGAAGGCCCAGTCAGTGCTCTGATGTGGGGTAAGGGGTGCAGGGTGGGGGCCCAGCTGGAGCCTGGTGCTGGTCTTGGGTTGGGGAGAGTTTGCTGTGGGAGGAGGGGAGCGGGTGGAGGTCTCCCAGCTCAGAATAGGATCAGGCCCTGGGGACCCTGTGCCTCCTTTCCACCCCTGTGTCTGTGGCCCTGACCTCCTCGGGGTCTGCCCTGCTGGCTGGGGACAGGGCTGTGGGGGCGGGGCAGAGACTGGGGAGAGGGTGGGCTCATCACCGGGAGTCCCTGCTCTTCCCTCAGGCTTCAGCACCTATGTCATTCAGGTTGGGAAGTCACACCGATTTTCAGATGAGATGGGGCAGGTCAGGTTAACCAGGAAATGTCTAGGAATGCCCCCCTGACCCCTGTGCCCTACTCCCAGAGAATAGCCCCATTAGCTAGGCTCCCACAGGCCCCCCTGCTAATGCCTCTGGCACAGCCCTTTGCACACTGTGGGGAAATGGTTGCTGTGTCCACCCCCTCCTTTGAGGCCCAGAGCCCAGGCAGTGTCCTTTTCACATCTGGACCCAAACACTGGGCCTTGCACCTGACAAAGAATAGGCATCCCACCAGAGTTTGTTGAGTGAATGACTGACTGTATCCAGGAGGAAGGGAGGATGGGAAGAGGGGAGGAGAGAGAGCAGGGGTAGAGGTACCAGAGGAAAGCCTGGGTATGAGTGCCAGCTCTGGCCAGCTGGGCTCATTTCTGCCACAGCAGGAAATACGGGGAGCGGGGTAGAGGTGCTCAAGATAAGATCTGCCCGCTGGAATGGGGGCACGCAGCTGCCTGCAACCTCCTGGGAGCAGCTTACCCTACACTTCTCTCTTTCTGCCCTTGTCTGGGACGGGGAGCTGCTTTGGGGAGGGGAGGGGCAGGTAGACATGCAGAGATTTGGTGGGAGAGCCAGAGGCTGGACCAGGTAGAAGAGGATGGGAGAGGGAGGAAGGCAGGGGTAGAGACCTGAAGAAAACACAGAGACCAGGAGGGAGGAAGACTGAAGCAGGCATGGGCAATCCAGGAAGGGTTTCCTCTCCCCCCACATCCCTTGGCCCGACAAGCAGAATCTACCTGCTTCTGTACCCCCCTCAGGACCGACTTCCTGGTTCACACATCCGGCCCACCTCCTCTGAAAATGGGTGAGGACTACGGAAGGAAGTTCCTGAGTCTGTGGGCTCTCGGGGGGGTCTCCGATCCAACGCCTGGGTTGTGGCTGACCCGAGCCGTCCAGGTTCACTCCCTCAGTCCTTAGACTCGGGGACTTGGTCGTGAAGGAGTGTTGCACGGTGCGTATGAGGGACCAGATCGCCTGGGTTCAAATCCCTGCCCGCAGCTCACAAAATGTCTCTTTGGGCCAGTTGCTTAAACGATCTCTGCCTTAATTTGCCCATCTGTAAACCGGGGATAATAATGGGACCATTTCATGGTGGCGTTGTTAGGTTCGAATAAGATAATCCAAGTGGAGCCCCCGTCCTGGGACGTCATAAAATCTCCATAAATACGTGCTATTCTTCCTTAGGCCTCTGAATGGATGTGGGGACAATAGGTAACATTTAGCTGCTGCACACCTGTGTTCTTATCCACTGAACTGGGTAGAATGATCCTGGCTCAGACAGCCTGCCAAAGATGGAGAGAGAGTGCAGGCTGATAGTGGATGGGAACAGCAACAGTTTCCAGGTACTGGTCTCCTCCTTGGCTTTTTTAAAGTACTTCTCACCTTCCTCTAGTCCTCTGGGGAAGACAGCAATGCCCATTGTACAGATGAGGAGAGCGAGGTTGGGAGGAGAGGTGGCTGGCCCAGGGTCCCATGCCCAGCTGGGGAAGCCGGGACCCCCTGTGCCAGGGAGGGCTCCTCTCCATTCAGACTCTGGGGTGTGTGTGTGGGAGGGTGGTTAGGGGGTGTGGAGGGGTGGGGCCAGGAGGAGAAAGTGCTCCTGCGTAGCTCTGTCCAACAGTCCTCATTATTTGTCCCATGTTCTGCTCTTTGCTGATTCTGAACAGCAGATACCAGGTCTTAATGCCACAATCACTTGTCTATTTGAGGAGAAAATTGGACTAAAATGGCCTGGAGCTTTCAGTCTACGGTTCAGGAGAAGGGAGGGCGATGAGCAGCGTGATGGGCAGGGAGGACGAGAGCAGCGTCTGAGTCTGAGGATGGTGGTGCTGCATCCCAGGCCCAGGTCGATGCCCGGGGAGGGGATAAATGACAGGGGTCAGGGGGCCTAGACCCAGGACTCCCCCTGCAAATTGTAGGCTCCTCAACCCCTCCCCCCAAGAAAATTGGGTGCAAAACTCACCCAGAACCCCTGAGGTCCCAGAGTTTTTCCCTGAGGAAAATAAAAGCAGTTGTTCAGATCAGGTAAGAGCGGAGAGTGTGAGCGGCCCCTCCAGATATTGAAGAAGGCCCCAGGCTCTGTGCTCCTTCCCCTGCGTCCTGGTCTTCACTGCTTGGCCTACTGGAAGGACTGGCATAGGAGGCCTGACTCCTGCCCTCGGGAAGCCCCTGGCTGGTGGGGAGACCAGCCTCCCCCCGAAGTCAGCCAGAGAAGAACCAGGCCACAGTGAGAGCCGAGCTGGAGCGTGCATAGGGCTCGCCGGCTGGGGCAGGGGAGCTCAGAAAAGGGAGGTGGGTGGGGGCCGAGGCAGCTGGGGAGACCCCTGTAAGAGGGTGGATGGAGCTGGTCCTTCATGACCTGGACATGGGGATTGAGGAAGAAGAGCCCTCCGGTGGAAGTATTTTCTTGCTCTGGCTGGGGCAGAGTTAAAAATGAACGGAGACAGGACGGGGGAGGGGAAGGAAAACTCCGTCGGTGTGTCAGGGAAGGCTGGAGTGGAGAGCAAGTCAGGAAGGAGAAAACATAGACCTGGAAGCCGATTGCAGAGAGTTCGGCTGAGTTAGACAGGATACAATGGGACATAGGGAGCCATTGAGGATTCTGGAACAAAGAAATGGCTTAGTCAGATTAGCAGGTGGCAAAACTCACTCTATCCCAACTGCAGAGTGGGTGAGAGCAGAGGTCTGGTGACCAGTTGGGAGGATATTGTAACTGGTAAAAGGCAATGATGTCCTGGCTTGGGCACTTCCGTGTGGTTGGAAAGGAGGGACTAAATGCCTTCCTACTGTGGATGAGGGACAGGCTGGGGCAGACCAGCTCGAGATGGGAGTGGTCTCTGCAGAAGAGGCTTATTCCTACTTAGGTTTGTGGTTTGGGCAGTTGGGGAGATGGTGGTACCTTTTACAAAGACCTAGAAGACAGGGATGAGCTTGGTTTTGGACTGGCTGACTGCAAAGCATCTGTGAGGCATCACTGTGGAGAAGTCCAGCAGATGGTTGGCTAGACAGGGGTGGGGCTCAAACGAGGGATTTGGGTCTCCTGGCAATTAGCTGGTGAACAGAGACTGGTGCTCAGCTGGGTGGGTGTGGGGAGATGGTGGGAGTATCAGAGCCTGTGTGTGACATCTCTGTCTCCTCCCACAGAGATTGTGCTGCGAGCCCACTAAGTGCTGCCTAAGAGTTGCCACTAAGAGTGAAAAGGGAGTCAGGACCCAAGCTCTGGGGACCACCATCATTTAATGGGAGGCCGAGGACGGGTGATGATGGTTGGGTCAAGGAAGCCGAGGGGCATGGTCATAGGTGTCCCATGCAGCAGAGGCAGGTGCAGTGAGGCATGAAGCTGGCAGGAGGTCGTGGGGCTTCCAAGTCACAGCATGGGGTCGGCTGATGGAAAAGCCCAGATCCCAGAAGCCAAGTCAGACCCGCCGTGGCTGGCACACATTGGGTATACTGGAGTCTGCAGGCTGTCCTGCAGGAATGTAGGGGTGTGCTACTCTGGGCCCCCAGGCTCCAGGGAGGCCCTCTATCTTGTGCTCATGGGATGGGGAAGTTGCTGCCCCAGCATCTCTACCCTCCCCTGGCCCATTTGTCCTGGGCCTTGGCCATCTGTCCTTTTGGCTCTCCTATCCCCTTTCCTCTCTTCCTCCCACCACAGAGCCGGAGGATTGATCACCACAGGCCTGAGTGCGGCACCTATTCCTGCACCCCACTCCCGGGACACAGGACTCTCCCTTTCAAGGGGTGCAGGAGTACTACGCACACTGAACCTGAATTCCGCGCTGCAGTTCAGATCTCCCATTGCATGAATTGCTCATGGCTGGGCTTAGGAGGGATTAGACTTCTGGGGGAGGCTCAGGCTGGGACCAGACTTTAAGGTGACAAAGTACACCAGCAAGTTGGCCATAGGGACACTGGCTGAGAGAGTGCATGGCTCCGTGCCACCCACCCTACCACAGTGATCAAAGATCAGCGGCCACAGCCATGCCAATGACAGAGGGAGGCAGTGGGCACTGGGGTGCCAGGGAGCTGATAGCACAGACTCTGAGGTCCACATAGGGGGCACCTGGCCATCTGGGCAGCGGCTGAGTCATCCCCAAAGCTGCGGTGGCTGGAACGTCCAGTCCCCGCTGTGGACAGGAGCTTATCTGGGCCACCCGCCTGCCCACCTGTGTCTGGTGTGATCTCCTCGAGGAGACCGTGTCCTGGGCACCTGCCTGCAGCACAGAGGCCCTGCACAGCTGGGCTGAGGCAGGGTGAGGGAGGGCCCCTGACGTGCACAGCTCCCGGACCAACGCACAGGGCTTGGGTCTTAGAGGCCCAGGGTGAGCTCCTGTCTAGGGAGAGAAGGGGCCCTAGCTTCTTTTTAGAAACCCCGGCCAAGTGTGAGCCCCCGAACTGTAGTCCCTTCCCTAAGGGGGCACCCACGTCTCCCTGCCTGGCCTCAAGCATCCTTTGAGATCAGGGAAACCCCAGCTATGCCCAGAATGGAGCTTGGTGTGGGTGGGTGGGCCAGCAGCGTGGACAGAAGGAGAGGGCTTTTCACACTGAGAGACTAAGAGAATGTCTTGTCTGGTGCGGTTTTTCAAACATTTTTAGCAGAAGCTCAATGATTAAAATACATGAAAGTAGTCACTCTGATTGTGGTGGGAGTGGCAGGCTGGGGCCCATCTCCTGACCCCTAACCTCCCTGTCCACCCACAGCAGCCACTGGACTGTCCTTAACTAACCCCTAGGGCTCCAGGTAGCACAGAATGAAAAGCTGTCCACCAATTTCAATCTCCGCACGACATATTCCACCTGCCTGTTCTACAGATAGGTACGCTGAGACCCAAGAAGGATGAATGACTTACGTAAGGCTGTTTGTGGCCAAGCCAGGGACATGAACCCAGGTTCCTGCATTCCAGCCTGGGGCCTCCCAGCTGCCCAAAGAGCTCCATCTTCCTGACTGCTGATTGGATTCCAACAGCTCTGTTTTAAAGAATAATTGTATTGTCCTAATTATGCATTTCAATATTCGAAACCACCTTACATCTGCTTTGGAAGCAGGCAGAGTAAACATCGTAAATGCGTATGTAAAATCATTATGCTCCCTTTTTGTTCAGCTCTGGTCTCTGCTCTCCTGTGGGAGGAAATAAAAGAGGATGAATCTGGCCCCGGCCCTTGATGAGCTCACAGTTGGGGTGAGTGGTCGGGGAGAGAGGTGGCAGACTCTGGGCCTACTCTCCAGAGCTACAGGCAGGCTGGGGAGGAGAGTTGGCAGCCCCAGCCCTCTGTGTGCCACTTGGTGGGCGAGGGTGGGGTGGGCAACATGCTAGATGCCCCCAGAACGTCATTCTGGCTAGCTGCAGGGCAGAGGCACGTGATCCACATTTCCTACGCCTCCGGCCTGAATGCTATTAAGAACGTGGACTCTGTTACTTAATAGCCGTGACCTTAGGTGAGTTTGCTAACCTCTCTGTGCCTCAGTTTCCTCACCTGCAATGTAGAGATTATAAATGACAAACCTCAAAGAGTTGTTGTGAAATTTATCATGTATCGATTTGCAAAAACGCTTAGCATTGCACCTGGCATATATGGTAAATGCCCATTAACAGTTAGCTGAGGATAATGATGATATAACTGGGTTGAAATGCGCTCAGACGGAGCATCCACCCTGGGATGGGGAGCTGCAGTGTGAGCCTTCCTGGGGGCAGTGTGAGCTCCCCCCCACCCCCACCCCGCGGCAGCGCTTCTTGCCTGAGGCTTGGTCATGGGAACCCTAGGTGAATGGAGTAACTGTCTATTGCAGAGGAAAGAGCCCCTGGCATGGAAGCAAGAGCCTTGAAACTCAGATCCTTGCTCTACCACCCAGGTTCTGGGGCAGGTCTGTATGTTCTCTGATCCTCACTTTCTGCATCTGTAGGGTCGGGCACAATACACCAAACACACAGTGGGGCTGTGAGGGCTAGACCAGATCCATGTGTAAAATGCTTATCACTTTACCCAGCACATCGGAGGCGTTCCGAGAATGTTAGTTCCCTCCCCAAGAGGACAGGCAGGAGGGCCCTGGGTAAATATCACACAAGGACCCTCCTTAGAGTTTGGGAGGAGATGGCAGCAGCAGCATGGGCAGCTCACATAGATGGAAGAGGTAGAGAAGCCGGGCTGGGAAGAGGAAACTTTCCTTTTCATTCACTCAGCATGTTTCCTGGACGTGAGCTGTGTCTGGTCCACGGTCTGGGGCCTGGGCAGATGTGGCTGGCATGACCCCTGCCCACAGGAGCTCCCAGCCCAGGGAGAGCGAGTGGAGATGTCTGCTCAGATGAACACCAGGCAGGGTGGAGGTACAAAGTCTGGCCTGGGGGCTGAGACCCCTTGAAGCTGGGGAGGGTTGGGGTTTTGTCTGGTTTGTTTGGCTGAGTTTGCAGGTCAGCTGTGATAGAGGACTGGCTGAAGGACATCGCAGGTGGAGGGAACCCAAGGGCAAGTACAGGGGTGGGAAATCATGAGGGGTGTCCAATGGGCCGAGCGAGGGTCTCAGTCATGATTTTTTTCTTCCCAAACAGAGGCAGCTAGATCCGAAACTCCGTGGCATCCTTCCTCTCACCTGAACGGCACCCCGTTCAACCAGGAAGAGAATTCTTCCTGGAGGAGTCAGCAAGTCTTCTAGCCCACAACCATTTCCAAAATTCCTACAAAATAACAAACCGTACAGCCAAGAGTCCACAAAACTCCAGGGCTACACAGGGGAATAGTGACTGAGAACTCGCCGCAGGCCCTGGGACGGTCAGGGAGGCCTGCAGGGAGCCTGGGCAGGGTCAGTGTAGGCCCGGAAGGCTTCTCGGAGGAGGTGATGTTGGCAGAGGCTGCCCCGGTGCCAGGAGAAAGCGGGGCTGGTAAAGCCGCGTGCGCTCAGCTCATTCACCTCCTATTGCAGATCAGAGCAGGGAGTTTTCCTCAGATTACTTCTGCCTAAGAAGACAGGCCTCTTCTCAGGGCCTGCTGACATGTTTTGTTTTCCCTCGGTAGGGATAATCAGCCTGTTTGGGAGTCGGGCTGACAGCTCAGGCAGCAGGCAGGGGCTGGGGGCGGGAGGCCCCGGGGCTGCAGGCAGCTCTCTGAGCAGACGCTGCTGGGCCGCCTGGCGACAACCTCCAGCAGGGGGGTGGTTTCTGTTTGTGCCACGGAGGAGAGCGCTGTGGGGCAATTTAGCTCGGTTACGTGAACCTGGAGAGCCGCCTGGCTGTCTCCCTGTTTAATTTATGCCTGAATGTCAGTGCTGAGAAGCCTACAGCCATGTCCCTGCTCCCAGAGAAGAGACTCATTAAGATCTGTGCTTGGAGCTGTGCTGGGTATTTCCCGACCTTCCATGGGAGGGGGCCCGACTGTCCCCTCTCCCTCCCCTTCTCTGGGAAGACTTCCAGGTTTCCCCATCCCCAGCTGATGGCCCCATCCCCACCAGCCCCCACAACCCTGAGAGGTCCAGCCTCAAACTCCAGCCCAGGCCAGGTATGCGCTCTTCACCAACGCATGAACTGGAGGGCGAGGGGAGGCACCCACCAGCCTTGGGGGTCCCCGAGGGCAGGCCAGAGGTGAGCTCCTCTTCTCCTCCGGGGTCAGCACCCAGGGCTGTCCTGCTCAGCATTTCTAAGCACTTGGCTGGAAGGCTTGCGTACTGAACACGGCCGGCCGGCCGGCCGGGCGAGCTGAGGAACGGCTATTTTAGAATCACCTTCAGCAAAACAGCCACACCCACCTTGAGGATAGTGGGTCCCCCCAACCCTGTGGGTCTCTGGAGGTGTGAGGGAGGTCCCATACCTGCTTCTCCCAGCTTTGAGGAGGGGAACCGGGCCAGGCAGCCTTTCTGAACGACTGACACTCTCCCCCCACCCAACACACACTTCGATTTCCTCTTGTGTGGAAGGAAGACGGTGGACTTCCCCAACTCCAAGGCACAGCCACCCAATCTCAGCACCCTGTTCTGGCTCCTTGATGGCACCCCAGCCAAGAGCCCAGCTTCCAACTCTCAGTGTTGTCTTATTCACTTGCAGTGCATGCATCCAGAGCTGGGAGTTTTCCTCAGACTCTGTGGCTACACATCCCGCTGCTCCAGAGAGCGAGGTTTAGTAGCGGCCTTTAACAGAGCCTCAGGTCTTTCCAGAGGGGCAGGGTTGGGAGACCTGGCCATGGCGACCAGCACGCCCCCTGGCTGTGTGTTCCTGAGTTGCAGGTCCAGGAGGTCAGCAGAGCCCAGGGCTGGGAGGCAGGGCCTCTGCGTCTGTCCTTGGTTCCTCGCCACCGACCCTCAGTGTGTCAACAAGTCAGACCTTCCACTCCTTGGCACCTCAGTTTTCCCATCTGCCTTATGGGTGTCTGGGAGACACCCCTGCAAGGTGTATATGAGGTTGTGGCCCCTGGGAGAGGCATCTCTGGAGCCACGAGCCATCTGGCCCTCGGTAGCCGTGTGGAGCAGCTTTCCTCCTCTGTGGTCTCCCAGGCAACGCCGAGCTGCCTGCCAAGCTTGCTGCCGAGGCCTGGCTCCCGCACACATCTTTAGTGCCACACAGAGATGGCTGATGGCAGGAGCCAGGGCGAGGCCCAGCCTCCCCAGCTGTCACAGGGAGCAAATCAGACAAAGGTTGAGTTGGGTAGGGATGGGGGAGCCCTGTGGCCAAGAGGCCTGGGGGAGTAGCTCAGAGGCCCTGGCTGCCCTCCTGCTACCTCGTCCTCCTAATACTGCCCTCTCAGTGACCCCTGCTCTCCAGACCACTCCATTTGGAATCTCACAGCCCTGGGCCTCAGTTTCCCCATATATCAAAGGGGTGGGGGCTGATCTCCAGCCCTCCAGACTCTACTGGCCTGAGACAAGAGCCTAGCCAGGATGTCAGAGGCCTGTGGAATGGGCCCTGAACAGTCTTTGGAAGCTGCCCCCACTGCCCCAAGAGGACGCTGGAGGGGGCATCTCTCAAGGGCACTTATTAGGCAAGGTCTCCAGGACCATTTGCTCCAAGATCCTGCATCCACCCTCTGCTCCTCACTGCCTGCCACTGGTGAGGCTCCTTCCCCGGGCTGGCTTTGCTCTCTTAGCCTCTCCCTCTGCCACTTCCCAGGATTTGCAGGCTCTGCTGGCTGGGCAGTTCTTTCTTAGATGACAGTCTAAGAGATGTGGAAGCTGGAGCTGGCCTTGGCAGGTAGGGTTGAAGGGGGTGCAGAGAGTCCCAGGGCCTGCTGCTTCTGCTCGTGCATAGCTGAGGAGGCAGGGAGGTCTCATAGGACAAGGACATGGGGAGGAGGTGCTGTCCAACCTCCAGCAGATTCCCAGGTCCAGAGCAAAGATCCAGGCATTTTCCATCCAGGCTGGATCCCACAGGTGCCTGGCCAGGCCTGGGGCACCAGAAGGGACCACTCCTGCAATGGGGAGTTCCTCTGGGACTGGGCAGCTGGCACCATCAGGCAGCCAGAGTGGCAAGGATACTGCGAGCCCCGTGGCCCCCTCGTGTGAATTAGAAGAAGATGCCCTCTCTTGGCAGATCTGGCCCTGCAGAGAATGGATTTCATCCTTCACCACCTCCACAGACTGCCTTTGCACGGAGCAAAACCTGGAGCAGAACCTGAATTGCCGTCTACAGCAGCCTGCCAAGCAGACATTGGAAAGGCAGCAGCTCTTTGACCAACCCACCGGAGAATCAAGGGGGACTCCTGGCATAGCTGTGTGGGCACACTGTGGGGACTTCGAGCTGAGGCCTGGAGGCCAGAGCAGAGGGGCATTGGTTCCTTCAGTGAATACTCACTGAGAGGACCTACTCTGTGCCTGGCACTCCTCTGGATGCTGGGAGGACAGTGATAATCAAGATAGACAAGGTCCCTGTGGTCCCAGAGCTTATGTTTCAGAGGAAGAGATAGACAATAGTAACCTAGAAAGATATCAGGTGGCATGCAGAGACTTTCACCATGGGGAGGGGCGGTGAGTGAAGGGCGAGGAGAGATCCGGGGCGGGTAGAGGTGGCTGGCAGACCCCAGCGAGCCTTAAGCTGAGACCTGAAGGATGGGAAGAACCAGCAGAGGGAAGGTCAAGGGGAAAAGCATGGCAAGCAGAGGGAACAGTTGGGTGGAGACCCCACAGAGGGGACAATCTTGGCCTGCTCAGGAACTGCAGGAGGCTGGGAGGACCGGGGCATGGTGGGCACCCAGGACAGAGAAGGAGATGGGCTCAGCAGACGGGGGCCAGATCTCAGGACTGTGCCAACCAGTGAGGGGTTTGGGATCCATCCTCTGTGCAGTGAGAAGCCATTAGAGGAATTTAAACAGAAGAGACTCAAGAACAATGATTCTCGACCAGGAGGGACCTCTCTCCCTGGATATTTGGCAGTGTCTGACTGCGGTGGAGGGTGGGGGGTCTTACGGGCATCTAGTGGGTAGAGGCCAGGGATGCTGCTAAACATCCTCCAGTACGCAGGATGGCCCCCACAACAGAGAAGTGTCTGGCCCCAAATGTCAATAGTGCTGAGGTTGCAAAACCCTGCTCTACATGTCTCTGTTCCCCAGAGCTGCTGTTCTTTTGGGATAACCTAGGGTCACTACACTCACATCTCGCTCTTTCTGTATATACTCTGGGTGCAATTTCTGTCTCCATCACTCGCCCAAAATGTCAGTGGTGCAGAGATTGGGAAACTCTGCTGTATAAGAAGGGAAACATCGAGACTACCCAGACCTGCCCTGGCCAAAGCAGAAGACACTGGCCCCATGGAGATTTTGAGCACTGAAATGTGACAAGTCCCAATTGAGAAGTGCTGCGAGTGTAAAAGATACACTGGATTTCAGACTTGGCACAATAAAAATAATGTAAAATATTCATATTTTTGTATTGACTACATGTTAAAATCATATTTTAGGTATACTGGCTTAAACAAAATGTATCATTAAAATTAATTCCCCTTGTTTCTTTTTACTTTTTTTAATGTGGCTACTAGAACATTTTAAATTACCTATATTTCTTCCATTTGTGGCTCACATTATGTTTCTATTGCATGGGGCTGAGTTAGACAATGATTCTATTGATTAAATGTTTCCTATGTACTCAGCACTGTTCTTTCTTACATACATCATTTGACTTAATTTTCACAACCACTTCATAAGGGAGATGTTGTTATTGTCCTCACTTTACATGTGAGGAAGCTGTGGCCCAGAGAGGTTAAGTAATTTGCCCAAGGCCACACAGGGAGTGGCTCCAGAATCTGGGTGCTTAACTACACCCCATTAGGATATGGCGGGTCATGGTGGTCAAGATGGAGTCGGACAGAAGTGGGATGATTCAGGATCCACTGGGTCTCCCCAGGATTCCCTGACAGAGTGGGCATAGGCAAGTGGTAAGGGAATGGAAGGTATCAAGAATGCTCACTAATGTTCACTGCTTTGAACAGCAGGTGGAAGGTGATGTTGGTCACCAAGATAGGGAAGCTGGAGGAGGATGCAGGCTCAGAAGAGGAGCTCAGGTGTTGTGCGTTGGTCCTGCTAAGTTTGAGATGACTGTAGACATCCAACTAGAGATGTAAGAAGACAGTTGGATGTGTGGGGAGGCATCTGGGGTGGAGATAGATACTTGGGGGTCAGCAACAGATAGAGGGAATTTAAAGCCCTGGGGGGCGATGCGATCACCTAGGGAGAGTGCAGACATTGGAGAGAAGGTTGCTTGGGCTGAGCCCTGGAGCACACAACATTGACAGGGTGAGCCACGGAGAAGGAATCCGAATGAGAGGCTGAGAGGGAGAAGCCAGGGAGGCGAGAGGAGAACCAGGCAGGAGGAGAAGATATCTTAAGAAGCAGGGTGTGGTCAGTTTTCAGGCTCCCTGGAGAGCCTGTGAGCTTCTGGCCGGTTGTAGCAAGATCGCAGAACTCACTGGCCCAAGGCAGGAGGTCTGGGCTCATGCCTGGGCTGGAACCCTGCAGGCTGGCCAGATTCACGCTGAGTCCCTGGAACTAGGAATCCATGGTTCCTGAAAAGAGCAGGGAGGGGCCGTGTCAAGTGGCCTCAGCTAAGGTGAGAAGTGCATGGGGTGTGGGAAGGGTGACCCAGGCAGCTCATTAATTTGGTAGTCAGGAAGTCCTTCCATATGTCTGACTATAATATTAACTGCTTCAAAGTGAGCCTATAGTTCTTCTCTATAGCTAAGCTGAGGAGACCCTTCATACACATCCTTCTTACAGTTGAAGACAGAAAATCTTTTTTTCCCCCTGCTCTCTCATAAACCCATCAGCCCTATCTTCCCCAAGTTGTTCCTGTTCCTTCTCCTAGGGGAGAAGTTTCTCCTCCTTGCAACAGCCCACGAATTCAGCTCAGGGCTCTGACAGAGTCTGGAGTTCAGAACACATGGGGAGGGATGGGCACAGACTCTGATCTGAGCTTCTTGTGTCCTGACTCTGGCTCTAGAACGTTCCAGCTGGCCCCCATCCCTAACTCCCACTGTCTCTCTCAGCTGATTTGAAAGGTCCCTAGGAATCCGTTTTCAAAAGCACTTGTTTCTGGTTTGGCAACTTGCTCACTGCCACCTGGCTCCTGACTGCAGCCCAACCTGGCTTCTGTTCTGAGTCTGCCCACTCTTGGCCGTTTGGGGCACCCCTGCCCCTAACCCAGGCTGGGTTGGGCTCTCCTACTGCTTCATCAGAGCCATCCTCCCAGCACACCAGCCCCTGCATGTCCCTGATCGCTAATCTCTCCATCAGCAGCTTCTCTTCAACCGCACTGCCCACAGAACCAAGTGCTTTGTCGATGAAAAAGCCCTTTGGGGGCAAACACAGGAAATTAAAGACTCTGAGTGCAGTAAGAAAATCCATTCTTTTTCATGGATTTCTGCAATCCAATTGCTTCGGCTTCTGCTGAGTGGCTGAGATCCTCTGGTGGTTGCTTGCACCCATGGGGGCTGGGCAGTGGGGGCGATGCTAACAAGGAGGGCCTCTGTCTGAGATTCCGCCATCCATAGTTCATGCCTTTGGGGCTGTGAGGCTGGGCGCCTGGTCACCAGGCTGTCCTTGACTGGAGGGAACCTTTAGGGCACTGTCAGAGGCTAACACCTAGGATGGATTTGTTGATGGTCAGCTGAGAAAGAGCATGTCCCGCCAGAGGAGAAGCTGGCAAGGACAGCTGAACTTTGTAACTCTGAGTGTAATGTGCAAAAGGAACAGCCTTTTGCAGGAATGAGAGGGAACCATGCTCAGATGTTCTAGTCCCAGCAGGTTATTGCTGCTCCCAGGGACTCCATTGCTCGGTCTGCAAAATGAAGGGGGTTGGATCGATAGTGTTTAAGGTCCCTTCCAGGTATAAGTTATGCAACAAATGTGAGTAGAGCTCCAGCCCTGTGCCAGAACTTCCAGGAGCCTCAACTAATAGTGCCCAGAGCCCCAAAGCAACCAGGCAGCTACCTCCCCTCACCTCCCAAGGCCGGCCACTGCTGAGACCAGGCTGAGCCTGCAGCCCAGCAAACGAGCTCCCTGGCCGAGATCTTTGGACACCCCCATGCCACCAGGGGGGCTCAGGAACACTGGGCTCAGGCAGGGCATCTTGTCTGAGACTCTCGACTCTGCCAAAGGCACTTCAACACCCTGGCTGGGCTCCGCACACAGAGGTGGAGACGGGGCCACCAAGAAGGCAGGCCAGGCTCTGGGGGAAGGAAGGCAGGAGACATGGCCTCAATTTGGGGCCCTAACTTACCACCCGGGGGGGCAGAAAAAGGAGGAATAAGAGGAGAAGGTGGGAAGAGCAGGGGTCTGGGGTAGGACACACAGAGGACTCCTTCGTGTTACTCAGGCCCTGCCAACCTGCCCCAGTGGGGTGATGTGGGCTGAGGTTGCAGCCGGCCCTGGGGAAACCCTCCAACTCAGGATGGGGAGAGGTGGCTACAGTCCAGACGTTGGGAGAAGAACTGCCATGGGGCCGAACGGGCCATCCTGGCCCCAGGGGAGAAGCAACAGTCAAAGATGGGGACTGGAGAAGCTGTTAGCATCAGGGTAGGGACTCAGCACCAATTATCCAAGTCTACCAGATCCTCTAGTCCCAGCCAGGGGCATGAGGCTACAGGATTCCAACCATTCATCTACCCGCCCATCCAAGAATCATTTTCTGGTAGGTCTTCCCTCGCCCCTACCCCCCATTCCCACTGACCTCTTGCCCAGGGGGCTCCTGGTATTCCCTGCGGACTGTCCCTGTGTCAGGCAATTATTCCTGGCCCTGTGTCTGACCTTTCACTCCTGCTCCTGGCACCCTAGGTGGGATAATCGACTTCTCACCTTGTAGACCGTCACAATGGGTGCTAGTTCACAATGCCTTCTCCCCCGACAGCCCATAACACTGCAGGAAGCCTCACTGTTTACAAAGAATTGGCAGGCAGGCTTTACCCTGGTGCCTGCCTGAAAGTTCACTTGATTCAACTTAAAGGAAGAAAGGGAAGTCAGGTCTTTTTCATGTTAGCTCGTAACCTTCTGAATTTGGTATAATCCTGTTAAGAGCAAAAGTAGCTGATATTTATGATTGACTTCTGCTGTGTTCCAGGCTTCATGCTGAGCAACGTGTAGATGAAGAAACAGGCTCAGAAAGGACAACACTTCGTAACTTGCCCGGGGGTCACACAATCAGAGCGTGGCAGTGCTGACATTCAAGCCCGGTCTGGCTGAACATTGCCACGTTCCCTCTTGGCTCCCAGAACAGACACTGGCCACTTGCCGTGGAGACACAAATGAGGGAAGAAAATGTTTGTTCTCACGGAAATAACCTTCTGGCTGGGCTTCCAGTGCCTTCCCCTTCCCGCTGCCCTCTGCCCTCGTAAACTGTGGGCTCCTTCTGACCCAAATGCCGTGGGCTTTTTCGCTTCCAGCCTTTCACTTATGGGAGGCGTGTTCTTCTGTAAGCAGCCCAAGAGCAGCAGGGGTCTGCGGGTCCCCTTCATCTCTCTGCCTCCCTCCCTGCATCTTCCTTCCACCCAGCCTGGAGAACAATAGACGTATGGCAGATAGAAGGAGCTTCACACGTTTCCGTAGTTTCCTTCATGACCACTCTGATGCTCACCAAAAATCTCACTGTCTTGTTTGGCTTGAGTATAGCTATTCTGTTTTACAGATGAGCAATCTGAGAGCCAGAAAAACAAAATGGCCAGGAAGAAAGGAAGCGGTAGATGGCCCGAGGGTGCACTGTGTGTGTGTTCTCACAGATCAGCCTGGCCTGGCACTTGCAGACAGGGCCACCAGCTGCAGTGACAGCCTCGTGGAGTTGCCCTGGGCAGGAGGGGAGGTAGAGTCTGCTCCCGAGCAGCCTCTGGCGGGTCAGCTGTGAAGGCCAGAGCAGCTTCCTGAGTGGAGGGCAGGTGGCCCCACGAAGGAGAACAGTTTTGTCACTCCAAAGCCCTGCCACATCCAAGAAGACTATCGTGCTTCTTATTTGGCTCTCCTTCCCACGTTCCACATGAGGACTGATGGCAATGGCGGGGCAGTTGCTATGTCATCCTCTCTTTCTCATCTCCCAGCGGGGCCCTGGAGGTGTGAGAGGGACTGAAATCGACAGGACTTGAAGATCGATTTTCTTCTCACTCTATACTCCTTCCCTAGGCTGTCTCATCCAGTCCTGTGGGTTCAATAACCATCCACACCAGTGGTTCTCGTCCCTGGCTGCATGTTAGAATCACCTGGGGAGCTTTTAAAAATGCCGATGCCAGGCCCTGCCCCAGACCTAATAAATCGGAATCTCTGCCGTTGGGTCCGGGTATTAGCATTTTTTAAATGCTCTTGTTCAGTCAGCGTTGAGAACCACCAATTCATTCCCTGATCACACTTTCTTCCAACTCCCATCTCTCTTCTAAGCACCCTACCTGCTCCCTGGACATCTCTTCTTGTTTCCTCTTAAGGTGCCTCAAATTCAGCTTGTCCAAGTCAAGTTCACAATCTGTAGAGCCCCCACCTCCTTCCACCTTGAAGCCTGTTCCTGCCCCAGGCTTTCCTGTCCCAGTGAACTTGACCATCACCAGCCAGTGGTGTAAGCCAGAGACCCAAGGGAAACGCTGCCTCTCTTGTCCATGTGCTTCACATCTAATCTGTCACTCTATGAAGGTTTGATCCAGCAGCTGTAACAGAGAGACCCCAAATAGGAGTGCCCAAACAAAATAAAAGTTTGCCTCTTTCTCACACAAAAGTTTGGGTTGGCAATTCAGGGCTGGTATGGCAGCTCCATAATCCCAGGGGGCCCACACTCCTTCATGCCTCTGCTCTCCTTCATAAGCAGCCTTCTTCTCCTTGACCACGATGTTTGCTCTAGTTCCCACTGTCGTGACTTCATTCTGGACAGTGGGAAGGGGCAAAGAGGAAGGGGAATTCACGCCCCTCCCTTTAGGGCACAAATTGGATGTCATTTACATCACTTCTGCTCACATATCATTGACCTGAATGTAGTCACATCTGGCTGCAGGGGAAACTGGGAAATGTTGTCCTATTGATTTCCTCTCCCAGATGGTCTCCATTCCCCCACTTCTCTCTTCTTCCAATATTCCCTTAGTCCACACCATAATCTCCTGCCTCATCCTCTGCAACAGCCTGCTAGCTGGTCTCCCCACATCCTCCAACCTGGTTTTTCCTTTACATCCTGGTGATATTGTTTAAATGCAAATGAGATCTCATCATCTGTTCAGCAGCTTCCCACTGCTCTTAGGATACCGTCGCAGAGGCCTTCACCATCTGACCTGGTCCTCTGGCCTCAAATCAAGCCTCTTCTTCTTGGTCTGAGTACAGTGGGTCAAGTGCAGGGGGCTCCATCTCTGTTCGTGGCCTTTGCTCTTGTTGCTTTCTCTGCTGTAGTATCTCCCCCACCCCCCAGGCTCCTTCACTTGTTCTTCAGATCTAAGATAAACAGACTGTTTCTCGGAGAGGCCTCCCTGACCTCTTAGATGAGATCAGGCCACCTGTTTACAGGCTTATATAGGCTTACAGCACCCTATTATTGTATTTCAATATCACAGATTGGATTATGTTATTTGAATGATCATTGCTTAACTTCTGTGCACCCCATCTGACTGGGAGCTCCAGGAGGCCAGGGACTACTGCACCCCAGTGCCTGGCCTGGTGCCTGGCCCACGGGAGGTCCTCACTAAATGCTGGTTGCCTGGCTGAATCTTGAGGGATGCAGAAGTGTGAATGACTCCCAGGTTTCTGACTCACAAAGGAGCTGAGTGCGCTCCCATTTGTGGAGATGGGGCACTGGGGGGTGACGTAGATTGGGGAGGGATCCTGCATTCAGTGTTGGAAATGCTGGACTTGGGTTGTCAAGGAGGCTTGGATATATGGCTCTGGACCTCTGGGGAGATGTCCTACTTGAGTCAACTGACACTGGATTCTCTATCTGGCCCAAGGTTATCATGGGTCAAGGCCACCAGAAAGGCAGCCATTTGTCGGGGAGGGGTCCTGGTCTTGTTTCCAACTTTAGAAGAGAGGAACTGGGAAGAAAGTGCCAGAAGAACTTCCTGCTCCAATTCTCCCTACTGAGTTGTACTCTTGGAAAGGGCTGTTTGGAGTCCTTTAGATTGTCGGGGGAGCTGAGGTTCTGAGTGCAAGCACAGTGAGCATGGGAGGCCTGGAATCTGCGCTCACCCACCTGCACGACAGTGCACGCTTCTCTCCACGCTCCACACCCACGAGCAGTCTGGTTCAGCAAACACATATGGAATGTCTACTGATGCCAGGTCCTGCGGGGATCGATAATGATGGCGGTGGTAGTAGCAGGGAAGTAGAAGTAGTAATAGCTACTGCTTACAGAGTACTCACTCATACCACCCTAGGCGCCATAAATTTAAACACATTTAATCTTCACAACAACCTTATGGCATACTAATATGCCATTATTCTTCACATTTCACAGCTGGGAAACCGAGGCAACAAAAACTTAAAAACAAGATCATGGCTACTGAATGGCAGAAAAGAAGAAAGACGATAGCCCCTTTCCTTAAACAAACTTAGAAGCGTGGATTATCTCCTTGTAATAGTGAGGCTAGCCACTGCCACTCCCATTGGATACATGGGGAAACTGAGGTCCATAAGGGGTTTCCAGTGAACAGAAGACTTCTAAGCAGCACTGACTCTCGCCAACTTTCTCTTGCCCTTCCCCTTTTGTACCCATTATGACTAATCGAGTTTTCCTTGGAAGCTGACAAAACTAATTTTAAGAAGACTGGCAGCTGATAGGTTGATGGGTTGGCTGTATTTCAGAGAAAGGTGATGGGTAACCATTTCTGGGATTAACTTTCAGCAACCTGATGGAATAATAGCCCCTCACAGAGCTTGGAAGTTGAAAAGGCCCTTTACAGAACTTGACCCTGTAAGATAAGTAGTATCATCCACTAGTCACAAATGAGGAACTAGACACTCTAAGAAGTTAAGTGACTTGCTAGGATCCTCGGGCTGATAGGTTATGGACAGGATAGAGACTTAAGCCAGATCTCCAGACATCCAGTGCAAAACAGTCTGCCTGACATCCCTTCTTATCTCTTCTGTCTACATTGCCTTCTCCTGGCAAGTGTCCAGATTTGTTCCCATGTAGGTCTTTCATTTTCCTGGTGGTATATTTTCTTTTTCCCTCTCCCCATCCAGTCTTCATTCTTTAGAACTTTACTTTTGATAAATTTCCACTGATACATGGATGAATATGCTAATTCATGCTAAAGTGTTAGTGAATGATAATGGTGCTCAATATATGCCCTCTCCACAGTGTTTTACATTTTTTTAAATTGAATAATAACAATAACAAAAACTCCTCTTATAGGTCCTGCCTCTTAGAGTTTTCAAAAACAGTCCTGATTTATTTATCTTCTTTTTAAATTTTTTTTTGCTGAGAAACACTGGCCCTGAGCTAACATCTGTGCCCATCTTCCTCTACTTTGTATGTGAGACGCCTACCACAGCATGGCATGCCAAGCGGTGCCATGTCCACACCCGGGATCCGAACCGATGAACCCCGGGCTGCCAAAGTGGAACATGCGCACTTAACCGCTGCGCCACCAGGCCGGGCCCCTTGTGTTCGCTTCTTCTCAGATCCAGCCCTGCCCTTTTCTGTCTACGGCCACTGCCTTAGTTCAGTTCAGCCCTTCATCATCTGTCCTCAGGACTTTGATAGTAGCTGCCTAACTGGTCTCTCTGCCTACAATACATCCTCCGTCGTGCTGCCCCAATGATTCTCTTTAACATCCCTTGCTTTAAACCCTTCGCTGACTCTGCATCCTCCACGAATGACT